AGTATAACCTGAGGGCCAAGTTTCACGTAGAATGTCAGATGAGTTTGAACAAATTTCTTGCTGTTTTGTGGGCGGATTCTTCTTTCTAAGGCATTTACTGAGTTTAACTAGCAGAGAAAGAAAAAGGAAGAGGGGCAAGGCGACATAGGGTGCAGATACACACCGCTAGATTTCATTTCTTAATTGAGGGCCTAAGTTGTATTTCTTTTTTATGCTCGAGTTTGGAAGCTGAAATGGGCCATCTATTTGCCTTGCTTGGTCTATGTTTTGGACATAAACTCTTTCCGACTATTAGATACAGAGTATTTTTCTGTACTCTTAGCGTTCATGATAATAGTGAATTTAAATCTTTTGCTCTTCATTGCAATGCCAGCATGCCCAAATTGGTACCTTGGCCAATCAAAAACTTGATGAAGAGGAGCTATCCAGAGAACTTATAATCCAAAGACTTCTTTGGCATATCTATTTAAAAACGTGAACGATATTAAGCCACGTCTCCCCCTCTCCTTCCCTTCGCCTGGTTCAGAGGAAGAGAGAGAGAGAGAGAGGAGTTTTGGGGGTTCCTTTCGTTCCTCTGTGCTGCCTGCAGCCACTGGACTGAAGCCAGAGAAACTTCCATAGAAAATGTTTTTGCTATGCATAATTTCCTTTCTGAGTACTTTTGGACCATCTATCTATAACTACCACAAACTTTACTGTAATTATGCTACTCCAGCATCTGTAAATAAACTACGCAATATGTAATTTGTAAGTAAATCATCTAATGCCTTTGCTTCTTTAATCAATCCATATAATGTACCTTTATAGCCATTTTCGTGTCCTCTCAGCTCCAACTTTACCATTAGAAGCAAGACTAATCTGCCCTAAATCAAAACTTATTCCCTTCAACGAGCATGACATTTGAGCTTTACTGGTGTTATGCTTCTTCAGCGTCTATAAATAGACTATGCACTATGTGGTCTGTTTATAAATCATCTAATGCTTTTGCTACTTTGATCAATGTATGTAATATATCTTCCTACCTATTTCCATGCTCTTTTATTGCTTCCGGGCCTAAAATTACAAACAAGACATATCTAGCCTAAATCAAAATTTGTTCCCTTCAATGGGCAAGCATTCGTGCTGTGCACGAAGGCGAACCTAGTTGATGAAAAATGTTGGCTTCAAGAGGGAGTTCTGCCAACTGGCGGCCTTGTTCGTTTGGGGGTCTCAAAACTTCTAGGCACGGTCTCCGATAATTTTTCTCTATCTATTTCTCTCCACTCATTACTCTCAAAAACCTTCCTCAAAATCCAAATCGAACATGATTAGTCCACTTGTTTTTATGTTGATATGTAGGCTTGTAGCCTAAAACTAAAACTCACAAAGTTCTTGTGCGCATGCTTGATTGCTTTAGAATATACTATATCCCAAACTATTAAATTCTCAAAAGCGAGGATTGAGAGCGGGAGTGCAAAATATTTTGAAGGATTACGTGACTAAGCTTGTGAAAGGAATTCTTTATTTTTTTTTTTTACTAGCAAATTTTCAAGGGCATCTCCAACCCTTTTTTTGTTTCTCAATTTAATTTAAAATTTTCTATTTTTCCTTCTATTTGAGGGAAGAGAATTTGATGCTTAAAATACAGCGTATGAAAAATATTATGGAGGATATCCTCCATTGCGGTATTCACCTTTTCAAATCCTACTTTATATCGCAAATGAGTATATTTCATAAACTATAAAATTAGTTTAACCAAGACCCCAGACCCGTACGTGGAGAGGTAAACAAATGATTCATAACATGGGAATCTCAACAAACAACGAAACAAGGTGCGCAACGAAACAAGGTGCGCTTAACGCGCAAACAACGGGGCAACCAATCAAGAGAGTCTTGTCCAAAGCCTTTGAAAGCCTAGCTTTAATACCATGTTAAAGCATCCAACTCAAGATCAATTGGCAATTCTTCTATATGATATTATGCAATTTTCTTGGATAAGAATAGGTCTATATTTGTTTCCCTTGGTTGCTCCTCTAAGAGTGACCTAGTAGAAGAATTACTATTCCTTATTCCATTCCTTATTTTCCATTAATAAGAGGAGAGTACACTAAAGCAGAGCATAAGTGAAGCTAGTCCCCTGAGCTCTAGCGAATAAGCTATGTTTTACCATTTAAAGAAATAAGCACTAGAGGTTCCATTGTAGTTCTACTATATGCTAAGATATAACTCTTCTTTCTGCCTGATTCACTTCTGTAGAGAACTAGATGCTATTATATTATAATGAAATGATATGTCTATTTATTTAGAATATTTAGCCTGAGAGTGGATTAGTCCTTATATTAGTTCCCTTGGGGCCTATGGTCTCTGGTCTTGATTAGTCCCAGGTATCATGGAGTAAGGCCTTTAGGGTCTCTATTTCTTACTTGAGTAGTCTTCCTAATAGAATTGGGAAGATAATCTTGCGATATCCATGATTCGAAATGCGCAATAAACGAAATGCGTAATAAGAGCAACGATTGCTTGCTCTTAGCTTCTTTTTGAGTGATGGCTGCGAATGCATATCATCTGTATCGCGAGAACCACAATGTTGACTAACTGCAGTCGCCGAAATAGCCGCAATATCTTCCATTGAAGATGGAAAGGAAGGCGAATCCCCTTCTCTCGTTACTTCTTCCTTACCTCGCGAGCCGGGCTGAGAAGTCAGTAATAGTCCTTTACTTGACTAAGGCCGGTAACCGTCAAACTATAATATAACCGCCCGTAACAAGAAGAAGAAAGAAAGAGGCCGATACTGGGCTTCTAGTGGTGAAACATGAGTATGTTCCCATCAATTTAGCATTTTTTTCATTTCTTCCTTGGTCTCATTTCCCCAAGGCGTAGGTTTGATCAGTTTACGAACAGGGTAATTCCAACAAGCAGTTTATTCCCCTTCTCGGCAGAACGTGCCATTCATGGACTTGGCATAGGATATGGTTCTACATAAGTTTCTTCCTTTGCGTCTTTTGAAGTTCTGCCTATCTCCATGAAAAGGGAATATCCAAACCCAAATCGACAAGGGCGTTACAGTGATAGGATCAAGGATACCCTGCTGTCTTTTCCCCAGGCCTTGGGTTGGATCAAAACTCATCTTCTCCGTAATGCGGCGAGAGCGCTTGTTGTCCCAGATGGGGGATCTAGACTTCGACGGCCAAGTGCCATTGTCCCCTTTCTGAGTAAAATCAACGAAGCCAAATTTGTCATAGTTTTCTTCTTCTTCGTCGTCATGCTCATCATACTGTCAGTAATCTCCCTTTTCTTCTGCATAATGAATTTTTGTTCCCGGAGGACCGATGAGCAGAGGATTTTCGGACATTAGCTTTAGCAGACCATTTGCGTCATATACTACTATTTCCATGAAGAAGATAACTGAATACTTTCTTAATAAATTGACAGACGGAATAGTATCGAGAACCCATAGTTGCCCGCTACGCCCCTTCTGCGACTTTCTTTCCTTGCTAGGTCCAATACAATTGGCATCTCCAACCCATTTTAAAATTTTCTATTTTTCCTTCTATTTGAGGGAAGAGAATTTGATGCTTAAAATACAGCGTATGAAAAATACTATGGAGGATATCCTCCATTGCAGTATTCACCTTTTCAAATCCTACTTTATACAGCAAATGAGTATATTGAAATTTTATATTTCATAAACTATAAAATTAATTTAACCAAGACCCCAGACCTGTACGTGGAGAGGTAAACAAATGATTCATAGCATGAGAATCTCAACGAACAACAAAACAAGGTGCGCAATGAAACAAGGTGCGCTTAAGGCACAAACAACGGGGCAACCAATCAAGAGAGTCTTGTCCAAAGCCTTTGAAAGCCTAGCTTTAATACCATGTTAAAGCATCCAACTCAAAATCAATTGGCAATGAGTGGAGAGACCGCCCAGGCTTATATATCAGTTTTGGAGGTTGTCACTAACAAATGAGGGACAAGCTCTAACAGTAAGTAAAATGATTTTTTATCACTTTGAGTCGAAACAAGTTTAGTGTTAACGTTTTGATCACAATAAACATGGCAAATAAGTATTTATTTTTAAAGTAAATACTTATTTTACTTATTTTTTGAATTACAGTTGATGTATTTTGAGAGAATGCTACGTCCCATTAAGCGAAAAATAAGTACTAAAAAATAACAACCTTAGCGGAACGGGGCCTAATATTAGTGGTAAGTAAAATGATGTCTTTTGATGAGAAACACTAAAACCATGTTGTTTTCAGCAAGATTTTTCTCTAATTATTGGATCTTGTTTTGGTTAGTTGTTATTAACTAAGTACTCTGTTTTTTGTATATCATTAACTATGGGATAAAATAAATTCAATTTATCTTAATAATGTTAAATTTTTTTTTTTAGAATATTTTTTTTTAATGTAATTTTAAAAAGTTATTTGAAGTTATGTAGGGTTGATAGCATAAAATTTTATATGTATTTAGGCTAAATTGTAATTTGTAATACTCCTATAGGGTTAATTGGTAAATAGTGAAAGATAGAGGAGTATATGCAAAACTCTAGGAGATCTCAAACTCTAGACGTGTACTTTGATCCGAATTTGGTCGATAAAGAGGACTGAGAGGAGCCCTAAAATTTCACTATGCCTTCTACCTCTCCCTGTCCACTTCTTCAGCTGATTTCCCTACTACCAGCAATGAGGGCGGCTCCGGCGATGATGGGTACAACACTTGCGCACTGATGGGTACAAGGATGGCAGGTCTGGCGATCGAATCAAAGCCACCCCCAAATTTGCATTCAAAACTCCGGCCATGACGACGCTCAAGTGACGAACAGTACTTCTCTCTCTCTCTTCTTCAGTACTGTTTTGTTAGAGGGCCTGTTGTGTTAGAGTTAGAGGGCATGTTCATCATTTGGGAGCTTGGATATAGCAAGGGGTACCCTATCGTTACCAAATCCACCTGTGGATGGAGGGATCGCAAGTCCTGGCGCAAGCCAAATCCGGGGGCAAATCCCCCAGCCAAATAGGCTCTAAGAGGTTTTGAACCTCCGACCTTAGGAGGTAGCGAACCCCTAAGTCCCAAGCCTTAGACCACTATACCAACCCTTCTTGGGTTATTTCAGATCTTAGCAATATTGTATATGTGCAGAATTCGATTATTTCAGATCTATCATGACACTCTTCGCTAATTCTTTATAACGATTTCAAATCCACCCCCAGCCTTGCCATTTATTAATTTCTTTGACATCCAACCAATATATGCAGGGCCAACCATATAGTAGGGGTAGAACACAAAAAAGCCAAAAATGAACTCAATGGTGTTGGGTCTATTTTGGCCTATTTCATACTCAATTGGATGATCAAAACAATTTAATTTTAAGATATAAGTCTATTATTTTCAAGACAAAGGATTTTAGAACCGTAATTTACCTCCTAGAGTAGTTAAACTCGTAGTTTTCCTTGCTTCAGCTTCTTTGCCAGTTTCATAGCCATATCTAATGATACCCAAAGAACACAAGCAAACAAATTGTAATAACTGCATTTTTATAAATCAAATTGTGGGTTTATTAATACTGTCCGGATAATGCGTACCCTTGTCCGGGCCCCTCATCTTGGTGGTGAGATGCCAACCACCACTACGTCGTGTCTTCCGTGATCAACTTCATCCTTTCCGGTCCCTTGTAGATTCACTGACAAACAACAAGGTAACTTTGTTAGCAAGGGGACTGATTTGATAGTTGTGGTACCTTCGTTCTTGCATATTTTTATACCTTCTTGTACGACCAGAACGATTCGTACGCAGATAGGGTTGCCGTGATTGGGAATCTCTCAATTACTTTCTTTAGTGCTTCAAATGACCCTTCAGATATCCTTTTATACCCTACTATCTTCACACATTGTTTCTTCGGAAAACAAGAAGAAAGAAATAATTAGATAGTGACTTCAATAGAGCAAGCTTTTATAACTCATAGGCTCTAAGAATTATTATATAGTATAGTGCAAATATAAAATAAACTTTTATACCTTCTCCGGAACACCCCCGGCTCCAATCATGAGATTAAAAGGATAATCGGTCTCATAACAGACCACATACCGTTTGACATAATCTAATACTGCCTTAATGTAGCCTATTTTAAACCCATATTGATCCTCAGGCATGTCCCCTAGGGGTTATAGACAAGGTAGGTGGTCGGCGACCCATTGTTTGGAAAGTGCAAGGGATTCTGCTTCTCGGTTTTCTCCTCGTTTCAGACTGTATGAGATACTTGGTGTGCTTAAATATGTCTCAGTGGAGGATTTTTCAGAAGTCTATACAAGACTTCCAGGAGGCAAAAAGAAAATCGAGGAGCAGAATCCCTTGTGCTTTCTAATGCTTTCTAAACAACAGGTCGTCGACCACCTACCTCGTCTATATCCCCGAGGGGGACGTGCCAAAGGATCAATATGGGTTTAAAATGGGCTATATTAAGGCAATATTAGATTATGTCAAATGGTATGGGGTCTGTTATCCATATAAGCGCATGACTGGAGCTGGGGAGTGTGTTCGGAAGAAGGTATAAAAGTTTATTTTATATATGCACTATACTGTATAATAATTCTTAAGAGCCTGAGAGTTATAAAAGTTTGCTCTATTGACTCAAAAATTAGGAACGGAGGGAGCACAAAACAGCTAACACTATACACTACGATTCACAAAATTATAGTTTTAATATGTAGCCTTCAACCAGCCCCCACTTGGCGGCACAAGGACCTATTAATCATGGAAGGTTTCACCTTCTTTGTTGAGCTAAAAAAATTCTCGAATAGAATTGATGGTCATTTGAGCTAGGATAAAGAATGCACTTTTCACGATTAGGGGAGAGGGAGAAAAAAGATATGGACCAACAAAAACATAAGAGGGAGGCTACTACCATGTATAAAGGTATGTGTGTGTGTTTAAAGAGAGGGAGGGAGAGAGCTACCTGTGTTATCAAGTGCAGATCTAACTTCATTTTGGGAGATGTTCACACGAACGTTGATGTTTGGGGAAGAAATTGATTTAGCAACATCTCTAAGCTTTTCCAGTGTCTTGCCCAATGAAATGATGATGAGGAAATCAATCAAGAAATGCACGAGGAGACGAAACTGGGTCTGTATTATGCGGTTCATGAAAAAGCAGTTAAGGTTCCAGTCTCTTAAACGATGTTATAGACTCCTTAAATGGATGTCTTCTATTAAGCAAGAGTCAGTTTGCCTTCATATCAAATAATGTGATGTGCAGAATTGCGTGTAGGCATCATTTCTTCATATTGCTGTTTAGGAATCTTTTCGTGATCCTGCGTACAAGCAGATTTTATTTCATTTGTTCTCAGAGGTCTTGAATTCCCAGATAAGACTCCGTAAAGATTTGCTTCCACTGTTCACCTATTTGGTTCATTCTGGAATTAGTGAGGTTTCACTTGGGGACCTTCTAAAATCGGTCTTATTTGATCCGAGTAAGATTCTTGTAGTGGTATTACCACAGGCTGGCCTTGAAGATGAAGAAAGAAGGCCTGAGGCCTTAGTATTAGTTGGGTGCAGTGGCAATTGTAGTAATCCAGAAGTTGTAGAAGCATTGTGTAGTGCTGTCAAATTTGTCATTGGAGGTTTGTGATTGCTTGTTTGAATGTTCATCCATATTTACATCTCTCAGTCGATTACATTATTCATTTATTCTATGTAGCTCTTGTGTTTTTTTTTTTTTTTTTGGTTTTTGATAATGAGAACTGGAATCTTGACCGGCCCAAAAGGAAGACTTGCACTTCCTTACAAGAGAGAGGGGATTATAAATGCAGTCCAAGAACTCTCAAGGGACACTGAAGTTAAATTTCTTGTATGCAGAATTGTTAATGTTAGTAATCTTCCTTGTGCTCAATACTTTATTCTTGATTTCTTTTCTATTTTGAGTTTTTTATGAAAACATCCCTCAAACTATCACCATTTTTCTACTTCGTCCTCGAACTATCAAAACAACATATTTTTCATCCTCTTAACTATCAAAAACCCACCTATTTCGTCCTCACCCCAACTCCATCCAACTTTTTGGATGAAGAATAAGAGCACATGCGTGGCACGTGAGTTTTATAAGGGCACAACCAGAATTTCATGTACTCCCCCTCTTCTCTCTCATACTCTGTCATCATGCACGACGTCTTCTCCATCTTCTCTCTCCCTCCCTCCCCCTCTCTCTCTCTTCGATATCCATACCTGAGCTATGACTGTGTTTTGATCTCTCAAATTGTGAACTGCAATACTTAGGCACGGTTTGTGACTGTATTTCAAGCTGTGACTGTGTTTTGATCTCTGAAATTGTGCAGCAATAGTTATGCTCTCCGAAGTTATAATTGTGCATCAATTGTTTAGGCACTGTATTCCAACTGTTTTGTGACTGAAGTTATGCTCTCTGAAATTATGAACATATGAAGTTATGCTCTCTGAAATTATGTGACTGAACTTTTTGCTCTCTGAAATTATGAAAATGATGCTCTTTCAGCTTAGGAATTGCAAGTCTTTTTGTGACTGAACAAATGCAGCTCTTTTTGCTCAAAATAAGCTCTTTTTGCTCTCTGAAGTTTCATTCTTTCATTCATTACTTAACTCACGTGCCACGCATGTGCTCTTATTCAGGGGGGGGGGGGGGGGGGAACGTCGTGCATGATGACAAAGTATGAGAGAGAAGATGGAGAGTACATGAAATTCTGTTTGTGCCCTTATAAAACTCAAGTGCCACGTTTGTGCTCTTATTCTCCATCCAAAAAGTTGGATGGAGTTAGGATGAGGACGAAATAGGTGGGTTTTTGATAGTTGGAGGATGAAAAATATGTTGTTTTGATAGTTCGAGGACGAAATAGAAAAATGGTAATAGTTTGAGGGGTGTTTTCATAAAAAACTCAAAATAGAAAAGAAATCAAGAATAAAGTATTAAGGACAAAGATTACTAACATTAACAATTCTGCATACAAGAAATTTAACTTCAGTGTCCCGAGTTCTTGGACTGCATTTATAATCCCCTCTCTTGTAAGGAAGTGCAAGTCTTCCTTTTAGGCCTATCAAGATCCCAGTTCTCATTATCAAAAACCAAAAAAAACAAAACACAAGAGCTACATAGAATAAATGAATAATGTAATCGACTGAGAGATGTAAATATGGAAGAACATTCAAACAAGCAATCACAAACCTCTGACAAATTTAACAGCACTACACAATGCTTCTACAACCTCTGGATTACTACAGTTGCCACTGCACCCAACTAATACTAAGGCCTCAGGCCTTCTTTCTTCATCTTCAAGGCCAGCCTGTGGTAATACCACTGCAAGAATCTTACTCGGATCAAATAAGACCGATTTTAGAAGGTCCCCAAGTGAAACCTCACTAATTCCAGAATGAACCAAATAGGTGAATAGTGGAAGCAAATCTTTACTGAGTCTTGTCTGGGAATTCAAGACCTCTGAGAACAAATGAAATAAAATCTGCTTGTAAGCAGGTTCACGAAAAGATTCCTGAACAGCAGTATGAAGAAATGATGCCTGCACGCAATTCTGCACATCACATTATTTGATACGGAGGCAAACTGACTCTTGCTTAATAGAAGACGAGACATCCATTTAAGGAGTCTATAACATCGTTTAAGAGACGGGGACCGTAACTGCTTTTCCATGAACCGCACAATGGTTTCCGCAAAAGTATCCAAAAATGAAACCCGAGATAAAAGCTCTATGACATCATCAACTGCTTTTTTTTTTTTAATTCATCATCATCATAAACGTACAAAGTTTCGAATATGGTCCGCACCAATAGTGATGCAAGTTTAGAAGACATATATGCGGGTCAAAACAACAACCATTATAATAAACTGAGAGCAAAAGTGAGTGAATCACAGTTTAAAGTAAATAAATCAGGGAAAAAATATGGAAAATCATTTTCACACTCCACTAATTGATGAATGCACTCCACAATTTGTCTTTTAAATACTTTCAACATTGTGTTGTCCGTAATATTTAAACTTTAAAGACAAATTGTGGAGTGCATTCATCATTTCGGGGGTGTGAAAAGAGCATTAACTAGTTTCAATGCAATAACAATCCTTT